TTTAACCGGACAGACGAACATACACACACACAAACATACATACATACATACATACACACATACACACATAAACAGGGTCGTCGCAATATGCGCTTTTGCAGTTTGCATACAGGCAAAAACGCATAAAAATCCGTTAGCTTTTACGAGGCAGTCTGTTATTCTAGTGTGGGAACAGTAAATGCAAATTGTGAAAGTACTTCTGGAAGTGCCTCACCCAATTCTAATATCTCTAAGACCAAACTGCAATCCTTGATGGGGCTCATTTTAACAGGAAAGTGTTAGAAAATAGCCTCTAATAAACCGCATTTTGTTAAGACACTGTTCGCAAGTTTTTTTTTTTCAGATGTTAAAGACTTTAATGTGCCAGAGACATATCTGAAGTACGCGAAATATCGTACGGAAAAGCTCTGGTCTGATACTAAGAGAATTTATGCGAACGGATTCATTCGGAAATGGTCGCTGTGGTGGGCGATGACAACTTGCATGTCTTTGCAGGTTAGCCTGAATTTTCCGATGAGGGATGATTTGTTGAAGAACTGCTTTTGTATTTTCCCGGAAGGCTTTGTGTAGTCTATCCCTTCTGCCTTTTTTGAAGAAACATTCGAAAGCGTTGAATCACGCTTTTTGCCTTTTTTGTTTATCCTCTTCAAAAGCGTGTCATTTGAGGAACAGAAATGAGAGCATTTCTCCGTCAAAGACGAGCTTTTCCCCAGTCTTCGTAGTCGCACATCCACTTTTCCATTCCTTCGTTCTTTTTTCCACATCCATCTTTCTTTTTCCTTAAATATAAGTAACCAAATATGTACAACAAAAAGATGGTAGACACTAACTGGAGATAAACCATATTTAATATGCATATCAACGGGAGGTGGCTAGTTAGAAGTGTATGTATCTGTTCGGATTTTTGTCACCTATCTTCAGACTATGCTTATGTGCGATCCGAGGGTTTTAAAATCAGTTTTAAAGCAAGCTCAATTTTCACACGCACACGAGTGGAAGTTTAGCTTGGGACACCACTGACATCCAATTAACTCAATAACCAGAGCGAGTAGGAATTAGTTTTTTATGCGTTTGAGATTGCTGTCCATGTGCAGGCCAGCAAGGTTAGAATAAGCTGCTGCTAATGCACGCCCTCATGTACAGGCGTATCAATTGTTCATATTGCCACACTTCCGCAGATGAAATCCAACTGCTAGACAGAATTATGCAAAACCTAGGCTGGAACGCACCAGGCGAGCCGGAGCGATCATGCGTTTTTGCACAAAACT